ATATAATGCTGCTTCACAGTTTAGACAAAAATGGTTAGCTCATGCATTTACATTCCTGCATTCATCAACGCAAGCAACATAACATAGAGCTAATTTACACCACATTACCTTGCAATTCATTGCAGGGCTTTGCACAACACACCTGCTGGGTGTGTACACACTACAAAGGTGTTTCGATTCCTCCCATAGATCATGCTGGGAGGGAACACACTACAGAGGTGTATACACGTTCGTGGTGTGTTTAAAAGGTTAGTAAATCAACCCCAGCATGTCAAGTGCAAATATATAGCTTCATGGCAGCCTTTGTAGATCTGCGTATGGGCATTTAAGTGTTTACTTGACCTCCTCTCCTAGTGATATGACCCCTATGACTTGGCACTAAGGATGCTGAGTGCAATTTATGGCTTCAGGTCTCTAAAACATGACCATCGGAAACTCAATACTTTATTTTTTTATACAAAAGTTACATGTAAAGCAACTAGAAAAGACTATATCTTCAGTTAATTCTTTAGATAGATAGATAGATAGATAGATAGATAGATAGATAGATAGATAGATAGATAGATAGATAGATAGATAGATAGATAGATAGATAGATAGATAAAAACAAAAGTGGCTGGGTTGATCAAATGCTTTGTAATAACTGTAGGCACTTTTTGCTTCTCAGACAACCATAAAAAGGGAAACAAAAATTATAGATGCAAACCTGATCCTCAATAAGCAACACGCCAGGCGTCATCATCCCCTAAAGTAATTACTAAAGGTGCTCCATCGCTGCAGATGAATGCACTTTAACTCTATGAGTTAATAACAGGGCAGACTACACATTTTAAAGCAAGGAGCTGGTAGATCCTACCATGTGGTCACATGAACACTTTGTAGTTGCAACCCGACTTGCCAAACCTATGTAATACGAGGACAAATCAAATTGTACCCACTTAGACAGTCACTTGCACTATATAGTTGTCAGATCTAAGACGATCACTTGCACTATATAGTCAGATCTAAAAGGAGATTGTACAGAAATATTGCAACGTGCGTGGTGAGCTTTGCAAGTAAAAATGAGTGTGCTGGGTTGACCTTGGTTGTCTGCACATGCACTGGATTCTTGGGCATTTACAGTTTCAAGCACAACAAACATGGATTTTTATGGACAGCTTCATCATACTTAAAGACATCATAGACAGACAGCAGCGATTTAAGGGCATTTTTACAGACTGTCTGTAATTTTACGGACAGTTGGCAATAGTGAGAACAGAGCACTCCTATCTAGAAAACGTGTCTGGCTGCTTGAGCACTGCAGTCAGCTGCTCTAAATACTCAGTGTGAGCTAATGATATAGCACTCAAAAAATCATGTTACCCTGAGACTGCACTAAAATCACAGAGTTGACTCGCATATTAATCTTACATGCATATTAGTTAGAGAAACTTACTTTCATGGAGTACTTTGGTGCTCAAGTCATATTTCCTGCTAGCCAAATAGTAACGTAAAGGAAACCCATAGTGATACACATATGTAAGCTGCTATTGTTGACCTTTTTGTAAACCGAAAAACATTTAATTATTAAACTCATTGGGGGGAATTTATCAAAACTGGAGCAGCTGTGCATGAAAACCAATCAGCTTCTCTCTAGTTTGTTCAGTTGATATTTGAAAATGAAACAGAGATGCTGATTGGTTGCCATGCACAGCTGCTCCATTTTTCGTTTGCTCGAGTTTAGTAATTGTATAAAAATTCAAATAAGACATTGATATTTACATTATGACTGGATAGCCAATGATTGTTCTTTGCAGTTACTTCCTTCTTTCACAGTAAAAATTTTTGATGCATGGTGACTCCATGCAACCACCAAAACGTGCTCGCTCCTTACCAAACGACTACACAGCTACGTGAAGCCAGTGTGTCTCTCAACTAGCACAAGGAGTAAAAAGTATACATCACATGTCTACCTTTCCATCCGGCTGAATGAAACACTGCACACATGAGCACTTTTGAGGTTTTCATAAGGACTCGTGGGACATTTAATAGCGTTTGTGTGCGCTCTCCGGCACTGCACCGCTGCGTTGTGGTGTGATTGGGCCATAAAGTAACAAAAAGCAGTGCCATTGATGTGAAGGTGCTTCAGGATGTCTACGTGTATTTTCTTCTCTAAAACTCAAGGTGTTCTACTATTTAAACAGAAACTTATAAACTGGAAGAACAATTGGCCCAGAGACATAAATGAAAGGTTTGCATCACTCCACCCACTATCCATAAAGGAGGAATAAGACCATTATTTTTGGGATTTGTGATAGAAATGAGATATGAAGGTAACTACTGGGCAAAGTTACTTTCAAAAACAGAGGTTGTATTTTGTGCCACATCCTACTGAGCCTCACTATGGGACAGTAGAAATGTCTATCATAGTAACTGTATGAAAAACAGAATTGTGGAATGCTGGATAGCTCTACATACTGTGTGAAAATATGAAGGCATCACGTCTGTTCTTCCTCTCTGCTAACAGTTTAGCGACTTTAAGGCAAACATAGGTCCACTTTAATACTGCAGGAGAGTGGCATTGATAAGCAACCTAAAACAACAAATGTTATCTGGTATGTTCCTGGTGCTGCTAGAACAAACAACTGTCCCATCAAGGACTTGCATGGTGAATTAAAAATCGTATTACTGTGTCTATAGGTACCCAAACAGTAAAATTACTTCTGGGAGGAATTAGGCTGTTGGCAGGAGAGTAGGTCATTCCCGTAAAGCAAGTCGAAGTCAGATAATACACTTCAATTAAGACCTGCAATAAATCACATGAAAAGAGCAGAGGATCCCTGAAGAGCAATTTTTCAAGCGTATCTCTATTATTCCATCATCGTCAAGCTGCTATGGCAGTGTTAAAGTATAATAAACATGAATAGAATGAGTCTGGGTGGAAGATGCTCTCCTCTGTGCAGGGAAGCATGATGGAATGCAGAGGGCCCTGGTGTGAGAGCTGTCAGTAAGAAGACATCCCACTTTCAGTTCTCCACCATGCTTTGACCTTTCCACTAACCATGTCTGCCCTTCTGCCCTAGAATCATCTTATAGGTTTGCAGGAAGAGCCAAGTCAATACAAGCAGTTAATAAGAGAAAAAAAAAGGGTAACTTGTGAGGAAAAGACAGTAATTTATTCTGAGTGTCCACACATTTAAATATTCAAATCTAATTTAAAAGGAAAGCCAATGTTTAACCTGCTATATCCAAAAATCACTTTAAGAACCAAGTTTGTTTGTTTTTTTATTTATTTATAAAACTCTAAAATTGTTAAGAACTGGCTTTGCTGCCTCTAACAACTATATTGAAGCCCGTTTCCAACTTTGCAGAGGTATTTTTTTTTAAAAACATATTCCAACAATGTACACAGAGTGTACATGAAGCAGGGATATGCAGCTGATATATATGAACACAGAAACTTAATTTTTTTTGTTAGATTTCCTTTTCATATCCTCATAGAAACTGCTGTCTCTGTGCAATCAATGTGTGTCTATCTTCCCCCCTTTGGGAAAGTGTATTGTGTGTATAGGCAGAGCTGGTGTTTTCTGGTCATGTTACAATGGGGACAGGGAGAAGGGCAGCTGTTTACAGTCCAACACCCTGGTGTCAGACTGGATTTCCTGTGGAGAAAAGTTTGAATTTTTAGGCTTCAGGCTTAATAAAAACTTAATTCAAAAATGACGAAAGCCTGCAATGTGAGTCCTGAAAATGTGCACAACTATACATCATCACTACACCTCTTCATTACCACAATTAATGCTAATTACTTACAAAAGGTGGAAATGGACTTTAAATGTACCAGGAGAAGGGACAGCTGGAGAAGCTGTTCCATATTTAACTATAATTATAGAAAACAGTAATTTTGAGGAATGTATTTGAGTATAATAGATGTGTTTTAGAGTAGATCGTGAGCAGTTTGTCTGGTGATAGCAAAGCTGTTTGCATCAGCCACTGTCCATCACGCCAATGTTAGCTAGTCCTAACTGAGCAGTGCAAGCCAAATTCATGTTGCTCATTCACAGAGTAAAGAACACTGCATTCACCTTTCAGTCTTAAACCAACCATACACAAACATTGCACTGGTTATCAGTTAAGTGATAATGACTCCATTAGATGATCTCTAACCAATGAGAAATCATTCACCAAATGCCTCAACAATAAAGTGTGCAGTCAATCTAGTGGTTATGTTTTTCCTTTCGTACAACTCCAATGGGACATACTGGGGCACCCTAACATACAATGGTTCCCCTAATTTAACGTTTGGTGGCAAAAAGGGGCTAAAGGATATCAACCCTATTTCCAAGTGTACCAAATATAAACCTTGGCCAGGCTGAGGGAATAGTCACAGTGATCCTTCAAGAGCACAAATGCAGAAAAGGGTGAGGAGATTTCTCACTGCTTGCAGTTATTGTAAGATGCCTGTTGCTTTACTTCAGTAGACATGTGTCTGGAAACTCTTGATAGATACTGTACATGATTTCTACACAGAAGGTTATGATCTGCAAATCATTTTTTTTTTAATTTTATTTTGCAAAATTTGACTTCAAATCTATAAACACCAAATTTGTCAACATGCTGTTTTGGCGGCTAAAGTGTTGTCTCGGCACCAGGATAAGCACTTTTCTCTATAAAATACTTATAAGATAGATATGTCTGCAGAAACAACTATCTGTATCAGTTTAAAAGCAGCCAGATGCAAAAATGCTCCAACTGTGATCTTCTATTGCAGATATCAGTCTGACTGGCTGGGGCAAGACAAGCAGGAATTATTTCAGACACTTTGGTAGGAGGCCATAAGACTTCTGGTGACAATAAAAACAAATGAAAATTCTATAAGTCTATGGTGATTGTTACAGACTTATCATTTCCTTTTAACGGTTAAGGTTTGACAGGATCAGAATATTCTGCCTTGGTTCAAATGCCTCCACTTCTTGTGGTACAGTAAGTTACAGTATACTTAGCTGACACTGCATAATTACCTGGTGGTAAGTCAGGATCACTAGGAGCTGTCTGCTGTATTTTTTTCGGTTTAACTGGAGACTTGGCGCTGTCTGTGTTGCTGCGACTGGTAGAACTGGAACCGCTGCTTTCATGATCATCCTGGGAAATAAAAAAAAACATTTTGATATTAGAACAGATAAGCCGTCAATTAAAATCAATCTTCTGCAACACACAACATTTACAATAGCTTAAGGTAACAGACAATTACAATTATTATTTCTTATAAATGAGTGATAAATATAATGCTTACGGGTTTGTAAAGGTGAAGGGTGTCACAGTACTACTGATTTATCACCATTCATTCTGAGACACCCACTTACTAGTCAGAAGAGAATGTCTTACCGATTGAGAGACATTTCTGGTGTCAATTCATAAGAAACCTGAGCACTGAGGTATGGAGGTCAGCTGCTTATGCTCAACTTTATATCTTTTTTACTGATATATGACAATGCATACTACTATCGACTTTGCATCAGCTGTGAAACACTGGGCAAGGAACGTTCTTACTGACTTGTCTCCTATATACATGCATTAGTTATTTACCATCAGGAGGCCTGCATGCACAAAGAAATGCACACACCTATTCACAACTAACATAAGGGTGCCTTCTGGCAATTAGCAAAATATAACCGGCGGACACTTTAATATCTAGTAACGCCATAAAAACAGGAAAATAATAAAGGATTCTTAAAGGAGAACTATGAGGTGAGTGATTTACACTCATCCTCATAGTTAGAGCCGACGTGTGAAAGTTTCATTATGACACGTAAATAGATCGGGAAGTGAGCGAACACAACGTCACTCGCTCACTTTTCGATCACCTCCTGCAGAGAGTGGTGAGTGTGCGAGCTGTAGCTCACTAGATACAGAGCTTTGGGTCACGGCAGGACGCTAGTATATGTCCTCCTTTGACCCTTAAGAGAACTATGGGGAAAAACACTTAGCCCATAGTTCTCTTTTAAGTAAGTGCAGCAGAAAAAAGTGATGTCAATGCATAAATGCACTGTCAGGTGTAGGGGTTGATCATTTCATATTAGCTAAACAGTGATGACATGAGGAAACATTACATTATCAGATGACTACTAGTCAGAAACATCACTTTACACAGGGAAGTTCTCACTAGGACAGTAAGTGTTCTTTTTACTTGAGACCATTTAAGCATCCAAAAATACACAGCTTCTTAAATTGACAGTGCCAAACAAATGTTGACTAAAAGCCAATTAAGGGTCAGGAGGTTAAAGAGTCTTGTGGAAAGGGAACATCTCTGACCTGACTAAATAAACATTAGAAACTCAATCCCATTTTATCAGCTCAATCTCACAATTTGTTTCTTAACGATATCCCAGATCCCCAAATCTAAATCTATTATTTTCCTACAGTTAGTGAACAGAGATGCTCCACAGAGCAAAGACCACTTGTGCCTGGGAAAAAAAAAGATGCCCAAAGAAAATCACTTAACAGGTCACTGCCCTGGCCATATGTCAGACAACCTATATTTTTTCCCACATCTTAAAATGTAATTTACAGTGAAACGACACTCAGGAGTTAAACCTTAAAAATACATTCAAGTACCTGAACTATTAACGAAAACGTATCTTGTTTGTGTATCACTCAGCTTTAGATCCTCAAATCATCTCTGAATTGGTGGTGACACTGTCCTTCCTTCTGGAGGGTGACTACTTTTGTTCCCCATGCGTGTTGTAAAGTAGTCACCGCTCCAAGCTCACTCCTGTGATGTACTACAATCTCAATACAAATTAGTAAACTAAACATGAGACTGTAGTCCATCACTGGAGTGAGCTTGAAATGGTTTGTACTGTACAACACACACAGGAACCATGGGGAACAAAAAATATGGGAGACAAAAAGGAGTCTGTTGTGTTGGCTTACTTCAGGAAAAAATTGCATTTAGCTGGGAAAACCCAGCTCTGCCAAAGCGCAAGCTCATCCAGTCCTTTACAACTGACAGCAATTTTAACCACTTCCTCACTCACACCTATACACCCCCCTTATGGACGAGAGCGATTCTTACATTCCCACTATGGGCCTGTTTATGCGGGGAGAACCATCAACAAAGTAATACATATACTTTTGTTTCAGGACAAATAAGTTATTTAAGTGATATCTATGCAAAGTAAAGATGGAGACATTAAAAAGTGGATTTTTTTCTACTTTAATGAGTGTGTAAAAAAAAAGGGCAAAAAAAATAAGTCTAAATACTAATGGTTTTATCCAGTAAAAAGTAGCAGATGTCATAGTTGTATCTTAACAGCTTGCTTTTCATTTCACTATATTTGAGAATGCATCAGGAAAAGAAGCACCCCAAAGTGAGCAGGAACATCTGCAGTTCTGAGGGCCGGTTCAAACCACAAAGTCCACATTCCAGTGCGTTTGGCCTCTGGAACGCACTGGAATGCAAGCCGGCCGGCTCCCTCCGGGAGAGGGTGTGGCGGTGCATTGAAGTTAGTGGCTACTGCAAGCACTATTTTGCAGATCGCACTGGACTGGAACGCAAGCACATGTGCCTGCGTTCCGGGTGCAGACGATCGCACTGCCGGCGGGGAGGCATGTGTGCGGTGCCATCGACTTCAAAAGAACCACCACGCCCCTTGCATTCCAGTGCCTTCCAGAGGCCGAACGCACTGGAACGCGTACTTTGTGGTGTGAACCGGCCCTGAAGGCGGACAGTACCAGAACCACAAACTACAGCTGCCAATACACTAGTAGATTTCCTAACAAAAGATCTTTCTTTACCAACTGATAATGCCATCAGAGACTTGACAATCTCGAACGCAATTTTGTTTTATTTTAACATTCGATTTTGGAATGAACGGAGTTTCCCCGAGCAAAATCCATAATCGCTGTTAGAATTTCATTCGTTTGGGGGAAAAAATTATTTCCTGCTCCTTTGAATTTTTTTCATAACTATGGTAGAATTCAATGATCGATTTGACCCCATCAACTAATAGATTGTCGAACGAAAGATGTTTTGGACAAATCTACTACTGTATGGCCAACTTAGGGCAGGTAGATCTTGCTGCTGGCATCCCTGTGAGTAAGAAGCCAATGTCCTGAACTTTTCACTATTTGGCCTACTCCTCTTATCCAGTATGTAGTTACATAGTCAGATTTCCCATAAAAAAATATCTAATTAACCAAAACTTTAACAAAGCAGTGAAAGCTAGTATTGGCCAACGCCAGTAAGCACACAAGTAGGCTATTCATTAGAATTATTACAGCAGGTGCTCCGTTACCATTTTGTGCTGTCTGGCCAAACCGGTTAGTAAAGGATTAACGCAAGGAGAAGGGTATACACTCTAATCAAAGGAAACCGTGATCCCACTCAGCCTTGTAAAGAACAATGTAATACAGAAGAGGATCTAGGCACAATTAAGACAAATACAACGGACACAAAATAAACATTATTAAAGCCCGATCCTATCCGCAAGGCATGCACTGGCTAATCTTAATAAAAACAAGAACAAAATGGGTGAAACAACACACACATCCACACATGTTCGGATAAAAAAAAAAGGACCATACTGATAAAGTATCAACAGCTTATGCAAGTCTCTCCATATATCATTAGATGTGATTCTTGGCACTCGGTTCCCCTTCAGATGGTATTAATCACTCACACCTTTATCCATAGCGGAATGAAAACATTCAAGCCACTTTTGTAAACTCTTCTGCTCTCAAACTGTGGTCTTGCAAAATTTATATACACCGTTGATTTGATCTAATAAATACAGTTATGGTTATTTACATATTGCAATAAAAATCTGAGTCATGAGAAACTAACTAAAACAAAGAATTTGTAAAGGTTTTCATCCATTTCATAAAACAGCAAATGTGTTGAAAGAATTCAAAAAAAAAAAATGATTTAATAGTATTCCAATACAAGTGCAACATTAGATAGGATAGTGCAATTGGTTATGGGAGGTAGGTGCATACATAAATGAATGTTAACAGGGCAATGTAAACATACATGAGCAAGGCTAAACACAAGGGGTGAATTATTAATTTGGTTGCATCATTAGTGTCTCAAACTTTTATATCCCTGATTTCTAGTGTATATAGTGACAGGTTTACTATCCTAGTTTATGTTTCATTCTGAAATGCCTTGATAAGGAGAACTGTCACAAAATGGTCTATACGTTGTCTCTGGCTCTAAGGCCTGGTTCACACCTGTACGTTTTGTAGCACGTTCAACGCTCTACGAACGCTCTACAAAACGCTCAAACATGAAAAACCCATTGTTTTCTATGGGTATGGTTCACACCTTGCCGTATTTCAGCCCGTCTGAACGCGCTACAAAACGGCCTACGCCTGAAAAGGTACATGATCTTCTTTGCGGCGTTTCTGTCGCGCGTTTCCATTGGGATACAGCCAAGTAGCCCTCGGAAACGCACGTTTGTTGCGCGTTTTTTTACCGCGAATCGCGGTAGAAACGCGCGACAAACGCGCATATTTGATATGCCTAGGTGAGAACAGAGCCTAAATTGTTGCATACTTGCTGGGAACCTCCTGGAGGGCAGCTGAAAAGTTCCGAAGTGCTCAGCTGACTTGAGGACATGAAGATTAATTATCTTTGTGATACTACTACTCAGGAGCACTTCTAGGATGTGCGAAAGCTTGGAGGTTTTTCAATGTCGCAAATGCTGGATGCAAATACCGCACAGTTGAGATATTATGCGAAATGACAGAAAATATGTGCAGTGGGTCGCAAACATTAATAGGTCACAGGAACACAAATAAAAAGGACGCAAAACTGAAATGAAATACTGCAGTTAGCATGACATTTTGGCACCTAAAAAAATTTGATTGCAAACACGCTCATAAATTGCTCCGAACGACAACTCGCAATGTATATAAAAGACATCTGTCCACAGAATCTTTCTTCCATTCAAACCTCACTACCATGGGCAAGACCAAAGAGCTGTCAAAGGACATTAGGGACAAGATTGTAGACCTGCACAAGGCTGGAATGGGCTATAAGACTATCAGCAAGAAGCTTGGTGAGAAGGAAACAACTGTTGGAGAGATTCTTCGCAAATGGAAGGAATATAAAATAACCATCAATTGCCCTCAGTCTGGAG